TTTCAATCGGATTTTTAAAGAGTCAAAGTGTTTTAAAAGTCAATGTGACACCTCGGATTTGTATCCGGATCAGATATGAGTTAAGGGTATTACAGTATTTTAAATAATTCTTTGCTAATTAGCATGTTATTTATATCCCTAATATTTTAAATTATATGTTCAGTTTCGTATAGTTATAAACATTCAATTTTCTTTCTTTTCGTGTCCCTTTTATTTTTGTTTTAGTTATTTCTTGTGTTATCTATTTGTTTATGTCTGACTTTTTTTTTACTTATCTCTATTTTTATTTTTTATTTTTTATTTTATTTTATTTTATCATTTTATTCATTTGTTGTGATTAATATTTTTATTCTCTGTATATATTGTTTATTATTATAATATTCATATACCATGCATTTACTTTTTCGTCTTTTAGAAAATTCAAAGGTAATGTTATCTTATATCGTGGGTTAACGAAATCACATCCAATATAATTGAATTTTAATTCCTGTTAATTCACGTAGTAAGAGAACATCCTTTTAAAAAAAACCGAGTGAATTAAACAACCTTTATCGAGTCAAGTAACTTATAAAATAAATTCACTCATTTTTTAAATTCATCGAAATAAAAGGATCGCAATTTAAATTTTGAAGTTAAATGTGTAAAATTTCATCATTTTAGACATCGTATAATTGAAGGTATCAATTTTTTGGTGTTGTAGGGGTGTTCACTCTTCTCTGCTCGTAATCGATTCTCGAACCCTTTTAAATGAATATTTGGTAAACGCATACCAATTTTTTGTCTTAAAACATTTTTTAAAATTTGTTGAAAGATATTTTAAATATTCGACCTATCTAACCCAAAGGTCGATTGAGACTTGGATTTTAAATTAAACAAGGAATCCAATTATTTTAAAATTTAATCATTTATTAAAAAATGCTTATGACAATTGACATTACCAATACTTTTTATATTAATAAAAATTTTAATAGAATTCATTAGATAGTAATTTAATATTTTTAATTTTAAAATATTATTAAAAATATTTTTATAATTTTTTATTTTAAATAATTTTAAATTAAAGTTCAAAAAATTTAAAAATACATATGACATCACCAAAGTTTGACATGTCATTCACTTTCATGCCACCACGTGACGAATAATCTAAAAATATTAAAAGGTCAAAATTGATCAAAGATCTTAATTAAAAATTGATCAAAATTAAGGACTGAATTAATTTTTAGAATAACTAATAGGAACAATTGAAAATACGAGTCTAAAATTTAAAAATATTATAAATTATCACTAATAATATTTTTAATTAGTGCAAATCAAACACATCATAAAAATTGACTTTTATGTTAATTATTGACGTTGAACATTAAATGACATAATCATATGGTGTCTTTTTAAATTGTCATATAAAAATAAAAGATAATAAGTGGAAAATAGTTGAATTAGTCATGTTAAATTTATTTTTGTGACAATAATAAAATGTCACATTTTATTTCTTACAAATTATGAGAAATTAAATTATCACGAATAAAATTGATTGGTGACATATTTTTAATGTCACAATTTTAAATCGAATTATCATAATAATAAATCATCACTAATACTTCTATTTCATTTGAGACGATTTTACAACGGAACCTTTTTGTCTAATTGTCATTGAAAGGTTTCTCTCAAAAAACTTTTGGAGGTAAATTTTGGCGTCAAACATATAGTGACAAAAATCAATAATTTTTCTTAAATTGTCATAAAAGATATATCATTAGTCACTAAATGTGACGAAAATAAAAATTCTTCATATTTATAGTATATTTTGTGATATTATTCTAAATTTAGCCATAGTAAGGTGGATTAGGTTAGGGGTTAGGGTTTGACGAGCAGGGCCATAGCTAGAAGACATATGGTCCTTATCATACGACTGGTAATAATGAGGCTGGGAAGTGGTGGCTGATAAGGAACTTGAGAACCATAAGGTGAGAAAGAAGGAGTTGCGATGGTCGATGGTGGTGTAATAGGTTGTTGATTGAAAGACATTGTGAGTTATCGCTGGTGGAATTATTGTGGCTGACGGTGGAGGTGTATAAGAGGAAGCAACAAGAGGGACAACGTCAACATTTCGGGAATAGGTAGGGTAATTTGAAGGGTATGCAGAGTAATCGAAGGAGGTGTAACCGGAGCTAAAAGGAAGCGCGGATGCATAAGGTGGTTGGTGTTGGATTGAGGTTCGAGCTCAGGTTAGGATTGGGATTGGGGTTTGAATTGTAAGGATATTGATAATAGAAGCTGAAATCTCCTTGTTGCATGTTGATCTAACGAAAACTCTTATGTGCTTGTCGAGAATTGGGATGCCAATTTGGCTGGGTTTTATTCCCTTTTTTATGTTTCCTGATCCCTATCTTCTATTGGATGCAGTATCAGAGTCGACGAGGAGTGGAAATTGGGGAAAAAATAAATGTGCATCGGTTTTTTAGATTGGGTAAATTACACTGTTCCTCATTGACTTTTATTATCTCTTCTATTTTACTCACAATATTTTAATTTTTCCAATTTGTTCACTAAACTTTACAGATTGAATCATTTTGCTCACTCTATCGTTAACTTTTTCACGATGTTATGACATGACACAAGCATCAAAACGATGTTGTTTTGAAAAACTCAAATATATACAAAAACGAAGCCATTTTAAATCCCCTTCTTTCCCCTCATTTCTCTCTACTTTGCAAATAAGGTTATTGGTTGTTGACGCCGACCACCATGTCATTTTTCATTCCGGCCACCATCTACCCACCATCTACCATCATTGATGGTGGCCTTTCTATCTAAAAATTAATAGGTCTATTTGTCTCGACCCCCTGAGTCCAAATCTGATGGTTGTTTCACTGGAAAATGTCCCCAAAATCCGTGAATCTTGACTGAAATGTTTCAGCTTGCTTTCTTTCAATCTCCAATTTGTGAATTTTGGAGCAAGTTCCGACAAAATGGAGGTCGGATTCGGACTCAAGGTATCGAGGCGAAGTGACCCATAAAATTTGGGATCGAACGGCAACAATCTACGACGTTCGACGATGGCCTGCGATGGCATCTGACCACCTTCAGTTTATATTTTATAGTTGGTGAGCAAAATATGAGAGAGGGTAAAGTTCAATGAGAATCGTTGTAATGTACCTTTTATATTTTTAATTATTTTATATTTGATAATAATAAAAAATGACACGTCATCACAATGTTAGAGTGATAACAGAAGAGTGAGCAAAATGATTCAATCTATAATGATCAATGAGTAAATTAGAAAATAAAATGAAAGTATTATAAGTAAAATAGGATATAAAATAAAGTTTAGTGAGTAAAATAATAAATTAGATTTAAGTTCATGCTAGACGCGGGGGACGATCTTAGATGGGTAAGCCCCAAACCAAAGAACAGGTAGCCGACCGTTGGGTGATAAGATGCAGCCAATGTTGGGCTGTGTTGGCTAATGGTGCTCCTAAGGCCCAAAATTATCAGGCTGCTAATTACTGAAGTTTAAAGAAACTTTTTATCTACAAAATGGAATATTACTTTTAAAATAATATTACTAGCATGTAAGCTTATATGATACAGGATAAAATACACCTATGATCACTAGCTACAGACATATTCTAATTTGATTATTGATATTTTAATTTTTTGAATTAAATTATTTAATTATTTTTTATAATAACTATTAAATGTTGTTAAGTAGATATAACAATTAACAAAATTGGTGTAAACTAATTGTGATCTCATTATTTATATATTTTATCAATTTGATTATAATTTAATTTAATTTAATAAATTTAATTCTCTCATCAAACTGTGGCATATATCATCATCGGATTGGATGAAAAATTTCCTAAAAAGAGTATTAGAGGAGGGATCAAACTCATGACTTAGGAAGAGTTTGAGCGAACACTAGAAAAAAGTAAAGAATATTGTTTTAAGGATTCAAACTTATGTCAATTATGAAATTTGACATCATTTAAACCATATAAATAAATCTAATAATAAATTTATAGAGGGTAAATTTCATATATATATATTAGAAAATGAGTTTAAGATGTTTTTCATACTGATATGATTATCTCCATTCGCCTAGACCATGCATTTGTTGTTTTAATAAACAACACAGAGTCGTTAACAAATATGGTAAATCTCCACATGAACTACAGAAGGAAATTATGTAACTTTTGAAGAAAACAAAGGTTACTTTAATCTTGTAACCAATGATAGACGCATGATTTTATGTCAGAGGAATAAATTTGAACTTATAAAATTTCAAGAGGTGAATTTAAACTTATAAAATTATAATGAACGAAATCATATTTTCAATAGAAAATATATAGGAAAAATATGAAATATATGATAATTTTAAAATTTTAGGAGGGATCACCCTATCCCGCCCCGCCTAGATCCATCTGTAACTAAGCAAAATAACAAATCGGTCAAGGAGGAAAACAGCAGCTACAAACATGAACTACAGAAGGAAATTCTGATTCCTAGTGAAGAGTAAAAATTGACTCGAATTGACTTCCAATTGTAATTTTATAAACTCAAATCAATTCAAAATATTTCAAGTTAAAAATATAAAATACAATTCGAATAACTTAAAACTTTTTAATTAGTGAATTGATTTTTAAATTCCAGTCAAATCCTTAAAATTTGTATTATATATGTATACCACATATAGAAAAATATGAATATATATATATATATATGATTATAAAAAATTATTTAAATTGAAATCAAATAATATAATAATATTATAAATATTTACAATTAAATTTAAACAAAAACTAAAAAATTCGATTTAACTCAAATTTTATAAACTCAAATCGAAAAAAATTTCAAGTTAACTTTGACTTGTAAAATAAGACTCGTCAACTCAAATAACTATAATTTTTTTAACTCGACTTGATGGCTCACCCTACTGATTTCCATTTAGAGTCTATTAGAACGGTAAAATTATTCATATAACACCAGTTTTTTAATATTTACAGTCTATGAGAACTGTAAAATTATTCATACAACGGTAGTTTTTTTATATATAAAATAGCAGTAATCTCATCCCATTGAACTGAAGAAAAAAAATTTAACTTATCCCGAGTCATACTCCTGCCTTTTAGTTGGAAGTCTCACTATTTGCATTATTATTTTCAAGTACTCTATTGCTCACTATCGGTCTGGAACTTCCTTTCCAGCAGCCAAAATTGTCATCTTACTCCTTAATTCTAGCAGGCTCTCCCACAGCATTTTCCATCCGACTATACCAGTCACCGATTCGTGTATGTTCCACCATATCTTTACCAGACGTTAGATACCGAATAGGCCTCAGAACACCGAAAACAGCAAGGTCGGCTAAATTGGGTTTTGAACCACCTGGTAATTACACAGAGAAGTTGATGCTTGTAAATAGAACATATCATGCATTTTGTCAATATCACACTATATTATGCATGAATGTAAACTGAAACAGACCAAGATAATGCCGGCCCTTTAAGGCATCCACCCATGTTTCAGCAGCTTCATACAAGGCTGCTCTCTCATCAGTAATGTTGTGCTTCTTCTTTAGTTTCTTTGAGACAAAATACATAGCCGCTGCTCCAGCATACTTCGCTACTAACCTCTCAGTGAAACTGAAATTGCCTACATTTATCAGAAAACCACAAACGAAATATGAGTAGTTTTTAGAGCATTACGCAAGCAAAGAATTTTAAGTTCCCTAACTACAGATTAAACAAGTTTTAGTAGTGCAAGTAATCTACTACAGAATATCAACTGAAGCATGATTATTGGATACGGTTATATAAGTTATTAATGGCCAAGTAAAATATACTTAAAAAATGAACATATCCACTCACCCAGCAGCACGACTGATGTTGATGATAAAAATACCGATTTAAAAAGACTAGAAAATGATAACATGTTAAAGGAAGGCTCAAATACTAAAACCTCCGAAGTAAAGCATTGCACATCAACCTCCACAAAAACCATGAATTAACGAAATGCTGACTTCATTCAAAGTTAATTATTAACCTAGAGTCAACAACATCAGAAAAAGCTGATAGCTGTAAATATCCTCCCATCTAATCCAAATAGTTAATGCTCGTTCTCAGCAACAACAGAATTGTAAAAGAAATAAAATAACACTACAATTAAAAAAGGTAGGCATAGCTAAATTACAAAAGCAATATTTTTTCCACCTATGTTAAGTAGACATAAATAAATCTTTGAATGTAGAGGAAAAGTTCATCTTACCATGAGTGGTGATGTAGTCAAATGATTCAAGTGCCTCGGAAGTACTTCGATATATGTTTGGTGATAAAACATGCACCAGATGATTATCCACCCACCTACATTCATCATTGTATTTCCACCATAAATTATAATGAAAGCCTAATTCCATATTGATGGTAAATCAACCATTACATGAAAATTCTCCAAAATAGTAGTATGAATATTTGATAGAATATTCCTCACACAAACAATTGGCAATCTTCAAACAAGTTTTCTAAATAAAATAATAGCAACTTTTGTAATTTAAAATGACAAAGAATCGGAGAGGTATAGGAACATACTCACGCCATTTCTTCTCTTCACCATCAGGTATTGAGCTATCAGGATTAATCCTAAGAAAAAGCTTATCGATTATATCTGGAACACAAACAAAGGATGTGAATTTAACTTATAAGGAGAAAATAAATGTAACTAACATAAGACAATATACAAAAGTTTGATAAAGGGCAAATAACCTGAAGAATCAACCATTTGTTCATGATCGACTTTAAGTATAGGCACCTTCTTATAATCAGACCACTTGATCTCCTTTTTGCTGATGGGGTTGACTTCCACAATTTTATATGGAATGTTATAATAATCCAAAAAAGCTGTAATTCAAAGAATTGGGGAAGGGATGGAAAGAAATGAAGAACTGTTAATAACATGTTGATTATCAAATGAAAATTAAATTCACTTCACTTCATCTCTGAACGTCTATATGGTAAACTATTACAGTCTATGAATAATGATGTGTAAAAACAGATTCCACTGATAATAATAGTCAGAAAGTAGATTCCTAATTTAGAATTAAATAGGATCTTGTAAATAGTCTTACAATCCCTAACTTTAAGGGATTTAATCCTTGCATAGAATAGGCTACTTTCCTAGCATAGAAGTTTCCTAAGATAAGCTATTGTTTTGTGTACATAACCGTGTACTTCTTCTATGAAAAACATAATGGAATACTCCATTTTTGACATGGTATCAGAGTTAGTATAGCCTATTTCCAATTGTTGTTACCCCTTTTTTAGCAGCCTTCTTGTTTGTCTCAAAACCTTTTTTAAGTAATGTGTGCTACCATGGTTAAAGTAGTCGACACTAGCACTTCTGAAACTGCTCAGGAAGTCACAATGAACGAGGGGCATTATTCGAGTTCAACAGGGGATTTGCAGAACATACACTCTGCTTACAGACTAAATGGAAAAAATTACCTTAAGTGGTCTCAACTAGTTCGAACGTTCCTAAAGGGAAGAGGGAAACTAAGCCTTCTACTTGGGACGGGACCTAAAGTAGGAGACCCTGGGTTCGATGCTTGGGATGAGCAGGATTCACTAGTAATGTCCTGGGTGTGGAATTCCATGATTCCAGAAATCCGTGATACGTGTATGTTCCTGAACACAGCCCAAGAAATATGGAGCCAGTGAAACATACCTATTCAAAGATTCGAGATGCAGCCCAGATCTATGAGATCAAGACTAAGATCTCGTCTACTAAACAAGGAAACTGATCAATCAAAGATTCCAACCTAGTACAAAACCTATGGCAAGAAATGGATCACTATCAGTGTATTCAAATGAGATGCAGTGAAGATGCAGCCATTTTAAAAAGGTTTGTAGAAAAGGATCGAATCTATGATTTTCTTGTTGGACTAAATATTGAGTTTGATGCAATAAGAGTTCAAATCCTTGGAAAAGAAGATCTACCCTCATTGAATGAGGTAATTGCAATCTTAGGTGCTGAGGAAGGGAGAAGAAGAGTGATGATCGAAAACGGTCTAATAGAAGGCTCAACCCTGGTCACAAGGACTGTAACGAGAAGAAATATGGCCTGGAACAGATGAAGAATGAAGATAATAGGCAGGTGGCAGTGAATAAAGACTCCCTATGATACACTTACTGTAAGAAGCCTCGCCACACAAGAGAGAAGTATTGGAAACTTCATGGAAAACCTCAAACAGCAAATAGGAATTTTTCAAAAAAGGGAGGACCATCAAAGGGGCAAGAACGTGCATATGTAACAAAGCAACTTGCTGAAGATTCTCAAGATCAACCTGCTGAATTCAATAGAGAAGAGATTGAGAAACTTAAGAATCTGCTAGGGTCCCTGGAAACACCCTCTTCCACAGGTACATGTAGTCTAGTTTTCTCAAGTACTTTCTCTTCTAAATACTCGGATGCACCTACCCAAAGTTCTTGGGTAATTGACTCATGGGCTACAGACCATATGACCAATTCTTCACTTACATTTGTCACCTATACACCTTGTCCTAGAAAAAATAAAAAAAATATAAAAAATAACAGTAGCATACGACACAACTACAACAGTTGCTGGACAAGGGGATATTATCATAAATGAAACCCTCACTCTTAAAAATGTTCTCCATATTCCTAAGTTGTTCACTAACCTTATTTCGATCCAGAAAATCACCAAAGATACTAACTATTGTGTTCTCTTCTATCCCAATCGATGTATTTTTCAGGATCAAAAGTAGAGGAGGATGATTGGACATGCTAAAGAAGTCAATGGCCTATATTATCTTGAAGACCCTGGTGGACAAGTTAGTGCCCTGAGTTCCTTACCATTATCCCTCATGTCAGAATCCCAAACCAATAAAGATCAAATATGGCTTCATCATCTTCGCCTTGGCCATCGTTCCTTTAAAATTATAAAGCTCAAGTTTCCTTCTTCGTTTAAAAAAATAATTGTAAAAATTTTCATTGTGACATCTGTGAAATAGCAAAACATAAGTGCACCTCCTTTCCATTAAGCAATAAAAAAACCCTAACCTTTTGATCTCATCCATAGTGATATTTGGGGGCCATCTAGTGTTTCAAATATATATGGGGCTCGTTGGTTTGTATCCTTCATTGATGATTGTACGAGTGTCTTGGATCTTTCTCCTAAAACAGAAATCAGATATAAGCTCTATCTTTAAGACCTTTTATACTATGATCAAAACCCAATTTAGGGTCGAAATAAAAAGATTTCGATCTGATAATGCCAAAGGTTACTTCAACTAGATTCTGTCACCTTATTTTCAAGAAAAAAGTATCATACACGAGTACTCCTGAGAAAACATTTAGCCATATCCTTGCTGTCACCAGAGCACTCTTGTTTCAAAAAAAAGTCTCTAAAATCTATTGGGAGGAAGTTGCTTTAACTGCTACCTATATGAAAAACATATTACTTACAAAAGTCATTGATTTCCAAAGTCTCATTCAAACCCTAACCAAGTTCTTTCCAGATTTTAATGCTTCCATTAACCTCAAACCCAAAATATTTGGTTGTGTTGCCTTTGTCCATGTCCACTCTCAAAATAGGGGACAATTGATCCAATAGCATTAAAATATGTTTTTGTAGGCTATTCATCCACCCAAAAGGGATACAAATGTTATCATCCAATTACAAGAAAATATTTTGTCTCTGCAGATGTTACCTTTGTTGAACTGGAAAACTACTTCACTTGTCCATATCTTCTTAAAGAAGATAAGGACAAAGATCTATTCCTTATCCAGTCACTTCTTGACCTTCTTTCATCCACTCCAACCACTACTCAGAATAGTAGCCAGTTAGTTGCCTGCTGATCAACCAGATTTTGATTCATCCCAACAAGCTTCCACAGGATCTCCCACAATGGGATAGACTATCTCGAGACATTTGCTTCTATTGTCAAGATGGTTCTCTAGAAAGATACAAAGTAAGGTTGGTGGCCAAAGGGTACTCTCAAACATATGGGATAGACTATCTCGAGACGTTTGCTCCGGTTGCCAAGATGAATACTGTCAAAATTCTATTGTCTTTGGCTGCCAATCAAGGGTGGAAGCTCCAACAATTTGACATCAAAAATGCCTTCTTACATGAAAATCTTGAGGAAGAAGTATATATGGATGTTCCACCAGGTTTCGGGTCAAACACTAAACAAGTAGTTTGCAAGTTAAAAAAGGCAATGCATGGGCTAAAACAGTCCCCAAGAGCCTAGTTTGGTAGGTTTACCAAGGTGATGCTAAAGCTAGGCTATAAGCAAAGTCAAGTGACCACACCTTATTTATGAAGCACTCACATTCAGGGGGAGTAACTATCCTATTAGTCTATGTAGATGATATTATAGTTACAGGGGATGACTTGAGAGGAATTGATGACTTAAAGAAGTGTTTGGTGAAGGAATTCGAAGTTAAGGACCTTGGTAGATTGAAATATTTCCTTGGAATCGAAGTAGCACATTCTCAACAAGGAATCTTCATATCTCAACAAAAATATGCCTTAGACCTATTGGAAGAAACAGGCAAATTGGGATGCAAACTAGCAGAAACACCAATAGAAACTAACCACAAACTTGGTGATGCAGCAGAAGGTATAGCAGTGGACAGAGGCTCCTATTAATGGCTGATAGGAAAACTTATACATTTTTCACACACCAGACCAGACATTGCCTCTGCAGTAGGGGTTGTGAGTCAATTCATGCATAATCCTAAAGACTTGCATTTGAGGGCTGTTAATCAAATCCTACAGTACTTAAAAGGCATAACAGGCAGAGAAATTCCTTTTAAAAAAGGGGAAAATTTAACTCTAAAAGCGTATATTGATGTTAATTATGCAGGATCCATGGTGGATAGAAGGTCAACCTCAGGATATTACACTTTTTTTTGGAGGGAATCTTGTGACGTAGAGCAAAAAACAGAATGTGGTGGCTAGATCAAGTGCAGAAGCTGAATTTAGGACAATGCCACCTAGATTTATGAATTATTGTGGCTGAAGATAATCCTGGAAGACTTAAATGACAAGTAGGATTGCCCAATGAAGCTATACTATGATAATAAATCGGCCATTAACATAGCTCATAACCCAATTCAACACGATAGGACAAAGCAAATTGAGGTGGACAGACACTTCATAAAGGAAAAACTCAACGGTGGATTAATTTATACGCCATATGTGTCTACTAGAGATCAAATTACATATATACTTACCAAGGGGTTACCTGGAAAGTATTTTAAAAAACCGACGTGTAAGCTGAAAATGAAATATATCCATTCCCAGCTTGAGGGGGGAGTGTCAGAAAGTAGATTCCTAGTTTAGAATTAACTAGGATCTTGTAAATAGTCTTATAATCCTTAACTTTAAGGGATTTAATCCTTACCTAGAATAGGCTACTTTCCTAGCATAGAAATTTCCTAAGATAAGCTACTATTTTGTGTATATAACTGTGTACTTTTTCAATGAAAAACATAATGGAATTACTCTAATTTTGACAAATATTAATAACTTTTCAGGAGTTTATTTATTCCTAAACAACAGAAGAAGATAGTACTATTGATATGTTTCAGTTCCAAGTCTTCACACTAACAACCAAGTTATTTTATCAACAACAAAGTTATTTGATCAACAACACAAATCAACATGTTATCACTATCTCAACTGTCATAACCCCTTTACAACTATTAATCAAATAAAGCTTTATGCATTCACCAAAAAGAGGGAAATAAAAAGGAAGACAGAGTTGAAAGTCAAATTTTCCCATTTCAATAAAATAATTTGTTTTTATAATCATTCTTCACTCAAATTTTAGAAAACAAGTTGATGAAATAAGCCATCGCTATGAGGGAAAATAAGTCCTCCAAATAATAGTTAGAGAGCTTAATTGACCCTAAGATCAGGAAATAGGACTATAATAACACAATATGTATAATAAAAAAATCAAAAAGCTAAATTTATCTTTATGCTTATTATAAACTGAAATCCACCATTCATTTTTTAAACTAATTCTTCATAAGGAGCTCATTTGACATTTCTATAAGAAAACAATGGAAATACAATTCCAGGAAAACGTTGATAATATCTTAACGTAGTATTTACCACAATAGAGAGTGAAATTATTTACCTTTAACCTTGTTACAAAAAGGGCAAGCTTCATACTGGTACAGAACGACTTCCTTGGGAAGAAACTTCTCAGAGGGAGGCTTCTCCTTAGCAAGAGCATCTTGAGCCAGAGACGATGCTGCCGCAGAAAACAACATGGTCCCGGCAACACTGCGCGCAAGGGAGGAACTTGACAGGCCCAATCGCTCCGCGAATTTCTGTGAGAAAATGTGAGAATTTGACGATGAAGAAGAGCAAGTACTCATCAACGCCGCTTGAACCAGCCGTTGCTCATTGGCAGCGCCGACGCCGCCGCCGCAGGATAAGGCTCTGCTTAGCGTAGCAAGTCCGTTGACCCTTCTCATGGCTGCAAAACGAAATCGTAGTTTCAAGAACTTCTCGGATTTTCGCTGCTATTGGTTAAAGACTTGAACCACCAAGGTTTAGGGTTTAAGCTTTGTCTACGTGGCATTTGCTTCGTCCACAAAACAAAACGACATCGCCTTCAGTAGTCAACTACAAAAAATATATATTAAAAAATAAAATAAAAGACAATTCCAAAATGTATAAAGTAACTTTGCTAGATTTCTGAAACGACCAAAAACCACGTTAGAAATTTCAATGAAGAGAATGGAAATACAGGAGACGCATTGAGGGTATTCTCGGTAAAACAACCAAATTACAAAACGAGCTAATAGAATAATAAAAATTCGGATGAAGTGGTTGATAATAGAGGTGTGCAAAATTATCCGACCCGTCGACCCGGATAAAAAAATGTAATTTTTAAAAAAATACTCGGTCAGATCGGGTATCTGACCCAACACTTTCTAGGGAGCTCGGGTCACAAAAATTGATTTTTTCGGGTACCCGGTTACCTAAGTACTCGGTTAAATTTTTTTATATATTAACTATATATTTAATTATAAAATCTAAATGCCCTAAAACAAATTATTTCTGATTGAAATCCCTAACAACCATGCTTCATACCTCAAAACGGTCACGTTGCAATCTGTACGCCAGGCTCCTCTAGTCTCCACTACTCCAGGCTCCTCTAGTCTCCACGCTGCAGCTTCCTTTAGTAGTCATTAGCCAACCTCAACTTCCGTGAAGCCTTCCACGCTCCGACCAGCTCCAGTCAGGTAACAATCCACTCAACACCCTTAGTTCTAAGCCTTCCACACTTGCAGATTTTGTTTATCATTATTTCGTAATTGGATTTAGAAACAATAGTAAATAAAAGGTTTTAATAAGGATTTGATTAAATATGAATTTCATCACTGATAAAGGTTATGATTAAAATTATTATTATTTAAAACGAGGTTTTCATGGTGATTTCCCCCTTTGCAGTACTAATCTAATAAATATTCACAACCACCCTAAACCCTGCTATTTAAATTCTAAACTCATACCATTTTTCATGTGAAAAATGTATTCAATTTATCATCAACAATAATAATACCTTAAACAACATCAGAATTCAACCCTAATTATAACACTATTTACAACTCGAATTATCTATCGAAATGAACGAAAAATAGCAGAACATCAACTGTATTGAGTTGTGCAGCTATTGCAATTTGTAATTTAAGTTTCTAAGCTTGATTTTGTTCTAGTTTCACTGTGTATTTCATGGGTTTGTCCAACTCATTTGTTGAACTGAAAAGAATGCTATTTTTATTAAATTTATCTTCCTTGGCGTTTAATCTTTGGGATTGATTGTGATTAGCATGAGAGTGTTAATATGGTCACATTAATCGAGTGATATCCTGACAAATCAGTTTGACTAGTTTTGTTGACAAGAATCATAATGGTTTCAACGAGAGTTAGAATCCATGTCCTCACAATAGTTTAAATGCATTCACTGAGAGGTGTATGTGTTTAGGTTAAATGTGAGTCATTGATTTACTAAAGGAAGTTAGTTTACTAGGATAAACATGTGCTTAATTTCATAGCCAATCAATATATCTAAACTTATTAGTTGTTGTAAATTTATGGTTTATTTATATCTAATGAAAGAATTGCTTGTAGGAAAGGATAATGGAAAATGAAGAAGTGTAATAATGATCATGAATTCAATTCATGATTCAAGTATCAAGTTGATTGTATCTGGTATCTACTCATCTAGTTAGCTATGAATTTTTATGTTTTATTTATATTATGGATTATTGGATTTTGTATTTCGAACTTGTAAATTTTTATTTCGATGTTGGACTATGTAATTCGAAGTTTCGAACGTTTAAATTTATGTCTTTTTTTATTTAATAATTTGAAGAAGAAAATTTCGGGTATCCGGGTACCCGACATACATGTACCCGCAAAATCCAGATATCAAAACATTCAGATCGAGACACGGATTGAGAAATTACCGATCCGGATATTCCGGGTTCCGGATTCGCACACCCCTAATGATAATACAAAAGACGCGTGGAGAGCATACACCCGAGCTTGTTCCATAAGTTAGAAAGAGATTTTTAAAACCGTACTTTTTTGTGCTCCTGATTTCAGCAAATAATGGGTGGAAAAAATAATTGCGCGGGATCATTGACGGGGGATTTATTTTCTCAACAGCATTATTTAATAATTTTTGCTGTGATTTCGAAAGTTGTTTTGAATCTTCCATTTTCTCTCTTGAAGACAGATTTCAAAAGATTTTTTATCTAGTATATTGATTATCGACCGATCTTGGGTTATTGGTTCGGAAATTTATTTACTTAACTGCATTATTTAAGAATTTTTTCTGGTGATTTCGAAAATTTTGTCAGTGATTTCGAAACTTTAATTTTCTCTCTTGAAGAGAAAGATCGCAGAAGATTTTTTTACCTAAGCTTGTTTAATGATTACCGAACTATCTTGGGTTACTTGTTCGGGAATTTATTTTCTCAACTGCATTATTTAAGAATTTTTGTGGGTGATTTCAAATCTTTTATCTTCTTTCTTGATGAGAAAGATCTCAAAAGATTTTTTTTATCTAAATTTGTATACTGATTACCGAACGATCTTGGGTTACTGGTTTCTGAATTTATTTTCTCAACTGCATTGTTTAATAATGTTTTCCGGCGATCTCGAAAATTTTGCCAGTATTTTTTAATCTTCTATTTTCTTTTTTGAAGAGAAAGATCTCAAAAGATTTTTTATCTAATCTTTTATACTGATTACCGAACGATCTTGTGTTACTGGTTCTGGAATTTGTTTTCTCAACTGCATTATTTAAGAATTTTTTTATGGGGAATGTTTTCTCAACTGCATCTAATATTTTTTGCCGGTGATTTCAAAAATATTACCGTTGCTTTTAAATCTTCTTTCTTGAAGAGAAAGATCTCAAAAGATTTTCCATCTAAGCTTGTATATTGATTATCGAACGATCTTGGCTTACTGGTTCGGGAAGTCCTTTGTATTTCAAAAAGAGAAGGTTGATAACTTGTATACTAATTACCGAACGATCTTGGCTTACTGGTTCGGGAAGTCCTTTGGATTTCAAAAGAGAAGGTTCATAATGTCGCGGAGCTTTCCATACCCGCCCCCAGGGTTTTTAAGGTTGTGATTGGTCAAATCAATTAAGGTTCGCTGAGCAAAAGTAATTGGTACAACAAAGGTTTGTAAAGGAGAAAAACTATCAAAGTAATTGCTCGACTGATACTTCTATCTTTCTAATTATGAATTAGAAAGATTTGTTGTGATCCTTGGCCTTCATTGGGTTTCGGTGACTATGAATCCTTGGCCTTGATTTCTATATATAAATACGATTGCAGATATGGGTACATGATGTTGCTTAGAGAAATGGGGGTTTATTTTACTTGTGTACGCTGATTATCCAAGATGTTTTGATTCAATTTCTGATTAATTTACGATAAAAGTATGTCCCAATTTGACTTGACCCAAATCTCATATTATGTTGTGCAATAAAGCTCGAGAGTGAAAAGGTAGAGTAACATAAATTACAAAAGAAAAGAGAGTAGAGGGAGGAAAATGTTGGGAAATAAACCAAGTACAAGTAATTTCCCTATAACCAGATTAGTGAGAATGCAAAATAAAAGCGGAAAAATAATACCCGAAATTGATAACGGAGTTCAGCCAATTGTGTTTACGTCTCCGGACTACTGCAGATCTTTTACTAAGAGAGAAAATTTACAGGTGTTTACAAAACACTCACTACTCACAAGAAAACTCTCTAGTATTGGGAGAAAGAAATGATTTTTGGGATGGTTTTGAAGCTAAATGAGCTAGGGTATTTATAGTTGAAACTTAAGGACTTAATCTTGTAAATACCCTAAAGCCTAGGTATTAATTGTGATTATCTCATTATCATTTTTCAACAAACATCTACCAAACTTTGAAAAACTATTTTTCAAAGAAACATTTACCAAACTTTGAAAACCATTTTCAAAGAAACATTTACCAAACTTTGAAAACCATTTTTCAAAGTTTGTTACCAAACTTGAAAACCATTTTAATACTTTCAACAATCTCCCACTTGAAGACTGATTTTAATCTGTCTTCACACCTCGATCAATGCAACAGTTTTTCTAGTCTTGTTACTCTAGCATGCCAACTGAAGTTGAACACAACTTCAGTTTGTCTGTAGTCACCGTCTTTGTCAACATGTCTGCCGGATTTTGAGCTCCACTGATCTTTTCAAGTTTCAAAATCCCATCTTCCAGAAGAGACCGGATAAAATGATATCACAATTGTATGTGCTTTGTCCTGGAATGAAAAGACGGATTCTTTGCTAGATGTATAGCACTTTGACTGTCGCAATACAAGACATTATTTTCTTGTTTCTTGCCTAACTCTTCCAAGAAACTTTGGAGCCAAACCATCTCCTTGATGGCTTCCGTAACAGCGAAATATTCTACTTCAGTTGTGGAGAGAGCAACTATCTTCTGTAGTTGAGAAACCCAACTCACTGCGGTTCCTCCTAGAGTATAGACATACCTTGTAGTGCTCCTTCTGATGTCAACATTTCCGGCTAAGTCAGCATCTACATAGCCTGTCAGTATCGTATCTCCACCTTTGAAACAAATTGCTTTGTTTGTGGTACCCCGTAGATATCTGAGGATCCATTTGACTACTTCCCAGTGTACCTTGCCCGGATTATTCATGTACCTGCTAACAGCTCCCACTGCTTGAGCAATATCTGGTCTGGTACAAACCATGGCATACATCAGACTTCCAATTGCTGAGGCATACGGCACATTCACCATGTGTGCATGTTCTTCCTCCGTCTTTGGTGACTGTTCTTTGGAGAGTCTGAAATGAACACCTAAAGGTGTACTTACTGGTTTAGCATCTTGTATGTTGAACCTGGAGAGTACTTTGTTGATGTACTCAGCCTGTGATAATATCAAAGTCTCCGACTTTGTGTCTCTCTTGATCCTCATCCCAAGAATATGTTTTGCAGCGCCCAGATCCTTCATAGCAAACTGCTTTGACAATTTTTGCTTCAAGTTTATAATCTCTTGCATGTCTGAGCCTGCAACGAGCATGTCATCAACGTACAACAAT